TAAAATAAGATAAAATAAAGTTATTAAAAAATTATTAATAAGAAAAAAAATTTTTTTTAAGAAAAAAAATGGACAGATAGAACCCTAGGACAAATGGTGGAAGCAAAGCTATACAGACAAAATCTCACACAGAAGTATACCCATACACACTCACAAAAAGAGGAAAAGGGAAAAAATAATAAATATTGCTCTCAAAGTCTACCTCCTCAATTTGGGATGATTCGTTGTCTATTCATATATTCCTCAGATGCAGGGTACATCAAGTTGATTGTGGAGCTTTAATCTGCTGCTTCTGAGGCTGCTGGGAGAGATTTCCCTTTCTTTTCTTTGTTCCAACAGCTCCTGGTGCTCAGCTTTGGATTTGGCCCCGCCTCTGCGTGTAGGTCGCCGGAGGGCGTCTCTTCTTCGCTCAGATAGGACGGTGTTAAAGGAGCAGCTGCTTGGGGGGCTCTGGCTCACTCAGGCCAGGGGGACGGAGGGGTACGGAGTGCGGGGCAAGCCTGCAGCGGCAGAGGCCAGCGTGACGTTGCACCAGCCTGAGGTGCGCCGTGCGATCTCCCAGGGAAGGTGTCCCTGGATCCCGGGACCCAGGTAGTGGCGGGCTGCACAGGCTCCCCGGAAGGGAGGTGTGGATAGTGACCTGTGCTCACACACAGGCTTCTTGGTGGCGGAAGCAGCAGCCTTAGCGTCTCATGCCCGTCTCTAGGGTCCGCGCCGTTAGCCGCGGCTCGCACCCGTCTCTGGAGCTCCTTTAAGCAGTGCTCTTAATCCCCTCTCCTTGCGCACCAGGAAACAAAGAGGGAAGAAGAAGTCTCTTGCCTCTTTGGCAGGTCCAGACATTTCCCCGGACTCCCTCCCGCCTAGCTGTGGTGCACTAACCCCTTGCAGGCTATGTTCACGCCACCAACCCCAGTCCTCTCCCTGCGCTCCGAGCAAAGCCCGAGCCTCAGTTCCCAGCCCTCTTGGACTGGTGAGTGCCGGTCGGCACCGATCCTCTGTGCGGGAATCTCCCCGCTTTGCCCTCCCCACCCCTGTTGCTGTGCTCTCCTCCGTGGCTCCGAAGTTTCCCCCCTCCGCCACCCGCAGTCTCCACCCGCGAAGGGGCTTCCTAGTGTGTGGAAACTTTTCCACCTTCACAGCTCCCTCCCACTGGTGCAGGTCCCGTCCCTATTCTTTTGTCTCTGTTTATTCTTTTTTATTTTGCCCTACCCAGGTAGGTGGGGAGTTTCTTGCCTTTTGGGAGGTCTGAGGTCTTCTGCCAGCATTCAGTAGGTGTTCTGTAGGAGTTGTTCCACGTGTAGATGTATTTCTGGTGTATCTGTGGGGAGGAAGGTGATCTCCTCGTCTTACTCTTCCGCCATCTTCCCCCAGGCTTCTATTGGTCCTGTTTCTGGCTAATACAGATTTTGGTACCAAAAGTGGTTCTAAAGGAAGAGAAATTTAAGCATGAGTTTTGTGAATTGACCTTGGATTTCTGGAATTGGCTCTCTAATCTGATCAGATTTAAAGGTGCTATGGACTGTATTTCCAGTAGTAAAGAGAGCTCTGATAGTCCATGGTGTGATCTGGGAATAGATTTTACCCAAACGTCTCCACTGTAGACACCTAATCAACCACTTATAAGAAGAAAGGATGTGGGGTGACTGTGTATATGATACTTTCAAAAAGTTTTGCAAAATAACAAATGAGATTGGCTGATTGCTCCTAATGTCACTAGACGAAATGGAGAAAGAAAAGGATGCGCTCAGGGATTGGAACTCCCAGCTCAAGCACTTCATAAATGATCTGTAAGCTTACATATTTGCCCTGAAGGCAACCATTATTTCCTGTAGCCACAAGGTGAGATTGCTGAAAATCAAATGCAAAACCTCATCCTGCGAAAAGGCAAGCCACTGACTGAAGGAAAATATTTGTAAATCATGTATCTGATAAAGGACTTGTACACATAGTAAAGAATCAAAAGTCGATAAGAAGAATACAGACACACTCACAGATAAATTGACAAAGGATTTCAAGAGATACTTCAACAGAGAAGATATAGTCATGGCAAAGAAACACATGAAAATATGCTCATCATTATCATCATTGAGGAACTATAATTGAAAACTACAATTAGGTACCACTACACCTGACAGGGAATGGTCACGAGGAAAAAGACTGACCAAATCAAGTTTTGGCAAGGTTGTGGGGAATGGAACTCTCACACACTAATGGTGGCAATGAAAATTGTGTGACCACCTTGGAAAACAGTTTGTTTCTTACAATGTTAATCTTTCATCTACCATATGATCCAGCTGTTGCACTGGTAAGGATGTATTCTAGAGGAAGAAGGCATATGTCCATGCCAAGACTTTACACACCAGTGTTCACAGCAGCTTTATTTAAGAGAAACCCAATTTGGAAACAACCCAAATGTCCCTCAAGAGGTGAATGAATAAAGCAAAGGTGGCATATCCATATACTGGATTACTACCCAGCAATAAAAAAAAAAAAACTATTGACACATGCAACAAAATAGATAAATCAAAAAATAAATAGGTGTCCAGTTTCTAGCCTGACGTGTAAGGAGCTTCAAAGTCGGCACTCCATCCTAACAAGTAAAAAGCCAAACAAACTGAAAAATCAACTCTTCTCAGATCTATCAGAGACATGAGGTCACAAGGCGAATTTGTCTCCAAAATTGAATACAGAGAATACAACCTACCAGAGCAAAAACTCATCAGCAGAGACCTCCGTGGGAACCCGTATCAGTGTAGGAAAACCCAAAATGTAAATGTTGGGGTCTCCTGGAAGCCACTGCCTTTAAACCTGGAGTAGAAGCTCCAGCAGCCATCAGGACACAGATCCTCAGAACCTGCCTCCTTCAGACACCTGCCATGAGCTCGGCCACTGGCATGAGGAGCTGCACAGGGAGAGACAGATTCAGCACATGTTATAATGTCCTTCTCACAAGGCCCATTTCTTCTCCTTTCCTTGTTTGTACCCTAAGAACAAAGTGGAAAACGAATAAGAAGTGGCCTGAATCCATGCAAACATTCATGAGCCTGGAATAACGATAAGGCCATCAGCTTACTCACGTGTTATCATTCAATGTTCTCAGCAATCCTGTGGGTAAAGCATTCTTCTCCCCATTTTACAGAGGGGGGAAGCTGAGGCTTAGAGAGCGTTATTACCTGTGTCAACTACAAATTGGCACTTGCCATGGTCACTTGCCATCTACCTCTATAAGGATTAAATCAGTTGCCGCTGCAGCTGATTACCTTCAACACCCCCTGAAAGGAATTCAGGGTGGAGATCAGGAATGCGGCACTCTGTGCTCTGAGAAAAACTGGGAGAACAGATCTTCAGATAGTTAGGTATTTTCAGGAGCTGATTTTATGAGCCCAATTCTTGCATCTCCTCATATCTAGAAAAGCACTAAATTCCTTAATGGTGACCTCTGCTCCTCGTGACTAGCAGTAACCCTCGCGAGACCTGCAAAAAAACCAAATATGTGCTTTATTGCATGTACTCCCCCTTTACCAAAATCACATATATACTGACCTTCCCCCCGCCTACCTCTTTAGAGTAGTTTCTCAGAGCTATCTGAAATGCTGTCTCCCGGGCTATAGTCCTCATTTTCCCCCAAATAAAACTTAACTTGCAACTCTCACGTTGTGCACCTTTTTTAAGTCGACACCTATCTCACCTCCTGTGCCCCTCCTTTAGAAAGAAAGTGGCTCCCGGACACCCCTGGAGCAGGACACCACACTCACTGGGGCCAGGAGGGACCGCAATGGCTTTACCTACGAGACAGCGGAGGCACCAAGCCCCAAAGCGGGAAAGAGGTGACCTGGATGTGGATCCCTTTGTCTCCCCACACACCAGCGTGGTCCAGCCCCCACCAGGGACCCACACCCTCAGATGAGTCCCAAACACCTGAAGGTGGGAGCTGCTCTTTTCCCCAGTTTATGTCTGTCTCCCTTAAAAAGTCGTCACGGTTGCCGCCATGACTTTAGGTTTCCACAGCAACTGCGATGTGCAGCCTTGTCCTCCACACTGAAATGCCTCCTATGTTGTGGCCATCATTTGCAGTCTTGAGAGGCTGCATCCTCTCAGCCACACAACACCACGGGTTCTGTCATCTGCATGAGGAGCTCTGCACTGGGACATAAAAATCTGTGAATACCCAGCACATGTTTGACACATCCTCATCCATCCATCTATTCATCCAGTTAACAGGCATTAAGACCAAACTGTACACGATCTCTTTGGTTGAGTTTTAGGCTTCTCCAGAATGGAAACAAGGAATTAAAGTGTGGAAAGGCAGGAGTGGTAAGCTCAGTTGTTAAATCTAGGAAGAGATGGCTCCTTCCCATTAAGATTTCAACCTGCTCAAGTTTCTTATAATTGATGATTTTAAAATATGCTTCAAGCCCTATCCCCCCTCCACATCTCTAGTTACTGTCCTCTTTACATAGATTCTCCCCTCGCACCGAAGTTCTACCAAGAATTCTGCACACTCAGTTCACATCTCCCTGCACCTCCCTCCCAACTCTGTCTTCATCCCTCATCTAACGGGGCTGTGTTCCCCGACGCTTCCACTGACATTACACTTGCCAATTCAACCACCACTTATTTGTCACACTTATACTGTAGATCCAGAATGTGGAAATAATTTTTCAAATAGAGACAGATAGGTATTTCCTCAAGAGGAAAGGATTTCCCTTCCACAGGGCAGAATTCAAATACTTGGGTACAGACAAGGAATTACATTACAGGGCAATCAGTTACCGAAAAGTTCAAGCTGTAACATACCTTCCATGGAGTTAGAGTTAGATAACATGAAGGCTGTGCTTTTGACAATTGGCTTTCAAATGACGCACACATTTTCTCGGACATATCTCATAATTTTACTTCATTGAAATGGATTTTGCAAATATGTTAAGTGAAAGTTAGCAATAATTATTTTTATGGTCACTTCAATAACCTTTGTTTTATCTGTTTCTTTCTTTCTCAAGGGATTACCAAGTATGGAATAAAATTGTCTGAAATTATATTGTTGTTCCAGGCTCTGCCATGAAAATATATTGTCTGAAAGCACTGTGTGATATGCCATATTTGGACAATATATTGGTAGGTATAGGGAACTCTTTTGCAGTTTCCTGACTGATAAGTCAAAATTCTCTTACTGCATTGTAGAAATTATGATGCTTGACTTTCTTTTGGGATGTATCCATTAAGTAAGAAAAAAAACAGCCTACAGAATCCATATACATCAATCCATGTGGATATCAATAAATGTTTGAATTAATAAAGAAATGGGTGATGAGAGTAACTGTGTTTATCAAACAATTCCAAATAATACATGGTGATAGCCTGCCTCTGTGAAGTGAACCTGAAATCTGCCTTCCACCTCTGAGAGTAGGGCAGACTTAGTGACTCACTTCTGAAGAACAGAGGAGGAAAATGGAAAACAGTTACTGTACACTGGAGAAACTGGGCAAACAGCACCTTAACCCACTGATGAAGGTCGACATCTCCAGTGACCCAGTGATGTCACGTGTGTACCATGTCCTCCCAGATATGATGTGACGGGAAGGGCACTTCAACTCTGTGGTATTCTTTCTCAAAACCCACAACCACAGGCTAATCACAAGAAAAATAAGACGCTATGCCTGTACTCCTCAAGACTGTCAGGGTCATGAAAACAGTGTGGCAGTTCCTCAGATGGTTAAACAGAGAGTCACCATATGACCCAGCAATTCCACTCCTAGGTACACAGCTAAGAGCAATGACAACATATTTTTACATGAAAACCTGCACACAAATGTATGTAGCATCATTATTCACAGCAGCCAAAAGTGGAAACAATCCAAATGTCCACCAGTTAAAGAATGGGTAAATAAAATGTGGTGTACTATTTGGTAATAAAAAGGAATGAAGTACTGATACATGCCATAACATAGATGAACATTGAAAACATTATGCCAAGTGAAGGAAGCCAAATATGCAAAAGACCGCATAGTATATGATTCTATCTATATGCAATGTCCAGAAAAAGGCAATTAGTATAGCTGTACCCAAGGAATTCCCCGCTTTACACCCAGACTTCCAAAAGGCTCTTCGTTGTGGCTTTTTGCCACAGCCCCTCCCTCCCACTTTCCTGTCCTGCAATGTTCGAGTTGCAGTTCAGGCTTCTGTCACCAGGTGGCACTAAAGAACCGCCATTTGCAAATTTCTTACAAATAAGTTTATTCAAACAGCAACGAAAAATACAGTACCTTCCCTTAACATTCAGCCTATGAATATATGTACAGAATGATTCTAATTCTGTCTGAAAACACTGGTAGGTGTAAATGAAGATTGTGAAAGCATATACTCCAGAGCTTGCACACGATGGAACACCAAGTGGCAGCAGCGAAACTTGTCAGTTGGTGGGCAGGCAAAGGGCAGGAAGGAGGTGACTGAGAGAGGATGGGGCTTTGGATCGTGGTGTGGGCAGCCTGCACAGTAGTGTTCTGTGTCCTGACAGGGGATGACAGAGTGTGTGAGACAAGGACTAGGCAGCCTGTACAGCCTGTAGGGTTATGGGGGTTAACATGTGTTCGCTGGTAGGAACCCTCTGTAGAGTCCACAAAGTACATCAGCAGACATTAATGAGGGAAGAGATAAATCAGTGCACGCGACATAGATTTGCAGTCAACAGCAGATGGAACTGCTTCAACATAAATAGAAATTCTCCGAATAGAACTGCTATCATAGTAAACAGTTTCATATTTTACTCTTTCCAAATACATGCTTTTTCACTTAAAAAGAACAAAAATGGAGGTGGATATGATGCCACCTGACATCTGTCATCTTCCTCACCCAGAAGGGTTGCTGAGTGAGTACCCGCGGGGCCACAATAGCAGGGAATGTGATCCGACCATTTCTCCAGCCCTGGAAGCCCATCTTCTAAAAGGGAGGCTGCTCTGTGTCCTCTAGGGCGGGTGAGGGCAGGAGCCTCATCCCGTCCTGCCACTTACTGGACAGGTGACCTAGGCTCTGTCAGCCTGAGCTTGGGCATCTGTGACAGGGGACTCACGATACCTGTGTCACAGAGCTGTCCTGAGGGGTGAATGAGAAAACCTGCCCAAAGTATATGGCATACTGTAGAACTTCAAAGGCTCTTTAAAAAAGTCAAGACTCAGTAGCAGGGGCTGGCTGAGCCTTAGGGCTAAGGCAGGCACTGTGGAAAGGTGTTTTTCATTGTTTCTCCTAATGAGCATATAGATATCTTTATGAAGGAAGCAAATCTCTCTCTGGTATGCCTTGAGTTCAAAGTTTTAAAGACAGAAGGATCTCTAGCTTCTTGGGAGACTCAGAAGCTCCTAAGAGCTGCCCAACATCGTGCCTCTGAGCAGACCCTAACCCAGTTCCCCACGCTGGGAAGACAGGCTTGCCTTTGACTCACCTGGTGAGCTCAGTGAGAGATGGCACCAGGGCAGCAAGCCGTAGTGTTTGCCTAACTGCTGCTCCTGGACTGCTGCGCATGTTAATACGTTTATAGGAAAATTCTGAATCCGACCCACAGCCACCAGGACAGGAGTCCTCAGATCATGTCACCCCAGAATTTCAGCCACCCGCTGCCTCCCTGAGAGGCAAAAATCCAAGAAGTACTAGCGTTGTTGGACACAATTGTCCATTCTTTAACTATTAATAACTAAAAATTTATATTATAATCCATCCTGTTTATTGAAAGTGTTTCATTAACTCTATTGTGAAATAAGAAGGTAAGAAGATAAGGAAGGAAATGAACATGTAGGAAAATTCAAGGGTTAAATCTGAGATGCGATTGCTCCTTCATATTAAATTTTAAACTTGCTCAAACTTCATGGCGTTGAAGATTCAACAACAACAACAACAACAACAACAATCCCTCTTAGGGCCCCTAATCCTTATGCAGACACAGGTGTCTCTCTGTCCTTCTCTCTCTCTCCCTCTTCCCCTTCAAAGTATAAGTTCCACAAAGAGAAATGATTAAGCTTAGCGAGGAAGGCATGTCAAAAGGCAAGACAGGGCAAAAACTAGGCCTTTTGTACCACACAGTTAGTCAAATTGTGAATTAAAATGAAAACTTCTTGAGGGAAATTAAAAGTGCTACTCCAGTGAACACACAAAGGACAAGAAAGGAAACCAACCTTATTGCGGATGTGGGGAGAGTTTTAGTACTCAGGAGAGAAGATGAAAACAGTCACAACATTCCCTTAAACCAAAGCCTAATCCAGAGTGAGGCTTTAATTCTCTGCAATTCTATGAAGGCTGAGAGAGGTGAGGAAGCTGCAGAAGAAAAGTTTCAAGCTAGAATAGGTTGGTTCATGAGGTTTAGGGAAAGGAGCCATCTCCATAACATCAAAGTGTGAGGTACAGCAGCAAGTGCTGATGTAAAAGCTGCAGCAAGTTATCCAGAAGATCTAGCTAAGATAATTAATGAAGGTGCCTACACTAAACAACAGATTTTCCATGTAGACAAAACAGCCTTATATTGGAAGAGGATGCCATCTAGGAATTTCATAGCTGGAGAGGAGAAGTCAATGCCTGACTTCAAAGCTTCAAAGGACAGGCTGGCTCTCTTGTAATGGGCTAATTCAGCTGGTGACTTTAAATAGAAGTCAACGCTCATTTACCATTCTTAAAATCCTAGGGCCCTTAAGAATTATGCTAAATCTACTCTGTGCTCTATAAATGGAGCAACAAAGACTGAATGACCGCACATCTGTTTACAACATGGTTTACTGAATATTTTATGTCCACTGTTGGGGACCTACTGATCAGAAAAATAAAGAATTATTTCAAAATATTACTGCTCATAGACAACTCACATGCTCACCCAAGAGTTCTGATGTAGAGGTATAGTGAGACTAATGTTTTCATGCCTGCTAAAATTACATCCATGCTGCAACCCATAGATCAAGGAGTAGTTTTAACCCTCATGTATTGTTATTTAAGAAATACATTTCATAAGGCTATAGCTGCCATAGACAGTGATTCCTTTGATGGATCTGGGCAAAGTAAATTGAGAATCTTCTGGAAAGGATTTACCATTCTAGATGTCATTAAGAACATTACTGGTTCATTGAAAGATGTCAAAATATCCACATTAACAGGAGTTTGAAAGAAGTTGATGGATGACTTTGAGGGATGCAGGACTTTAGTGGAAGAAGTAACTGCAGATGTGGTGGAAAGAGCAAGAGAATTAGAATTAGAAGAGGAGCCTGAATACGTGATTGAATTGCTGCAATCTCATGATGAAACTTTAACCGACGAGGAGCTGTTTCTTATGGATGAGAGAAGAAAGTGGTTTCTTGAGGTGGAATCTACCCCTGGTGAAGATGCTGTGAAGATTGTTGAAATGACAACAAAGGATTTAGAATATTACATAAACTTAATTGATAAAAAAAAGTGGCAGGCTTTGAGAGGACAGACCCAATTTTTTTTAAACATGTTTATTGGAGTATAATTGCTTTACAATGGTGTGTTAGTTTCTGCTGTGTAACAGTGGATCAGCTATACATACACATATATCCCCATATCTCCTCCCACGTGCATCTCCCTCCCACCCTCCCTATCCCAGCCCTCTTGGTGGACAAAAGCACCGAGCTGATCTCCCTGTGCTATGTGGCTGCTTCCCACTAGCTATCTATCTTACATTTGGGAGTGTATATATGTCCATACCACTCTCTCACTTCGGCCCAGCTTACCCTTCCCCCTCCCCGTGTCCTCAAGTCCATTCTCCACGTCTGCGTCTTTATTCCTGTCCTGCCCCTAGGTTCTTCATGACCTTTTTTTTTTTCTTTTAGATTCCATATATATGTGTTAGCATACGGTATTTGTTTTTCTCTTTCTGACTTACTTCACTCTGTAGGACAGACTCTAGGTCCATTCACCTCACTACAAATAACTCAATTTCGTTTCTTTTTATGGCTGGGTAAATATTCCATTGTATATATGTGCCACATCTACTTTATCCATTCATCAGTCGATGGACACCTAGGTTGCTTCCATGTCCTGGCTATTGTAAATAGAGCTGCAATGAACACTGTGGTCCATGACTCTTTTTGAACTATGGTTTTCTCAGGGTATATGCCCAGTAGTGGGATTGCTGGGTCGTATGGTAGCTCTATTTTTAGTTTCTTAAGGAACGTCCATACTGTTCTCCATAGTGACTGTATCAATTTACATTCCCACCAACAGTGCAAGAGGGTTCCCTTTCCTCCACACCCTCTCCAGCATTTAGTGTTTGTAGATTGTTTGATGATGGCCATTCTGACTGGTGTGAGGTGATACCTCATTGTAGTTTGGATTTGCATTTCTCTAATGATTAGTGATGTTGAGCATCCTTTCGTGTGTTTGTTGGCAATCTGTCTATCTTCTTTGGAGAAATGTCTATTTAGCAGACCCCAATTTTGAAAGAAGTTCTACTGTGGGTAAAATGCTTTCAAACAACAGTGCATAGAAATCGTTTCTGCCAAGGAGAGTCCATTGATGCAGCACACTTCACTGTTGTCTCATCTTAAGAAACTGCCACAGCCACCCCAACCTTCAACCACCACCACCCTAATCAGTCAGCAGCCATCAAAACTGACACAAGACCCTCCAACAGCAAAAAGATTATGGCTCACTGAAGTTTCAGATGATTGGTAGCAACTTTCAGCAATAAAGTATTTTTTAATTACGGTATGTACATTGTTTTTTAGACTTCATGCTATTGTACACTTAATAGTCTACAGTATAGTGTAACCATAACTTTTATAAGAAATGGGAAACCAAAGCACTTGTTTGACTCACTTTATTGCAATATTTGCTATGTTGCTGTGGTCTGCAGCCAAGCTCACAATATTTCCAAAGTATACCCGTATCTATAACTGAGGCAAGGCTGAGTGAATCAGTAGGAAGAGTAAAGGCCTCGGGTTCAGAAGACGTGGGTTCCAGTCTGGAATCAGCCAATGAGTAGGAGCATGACATGGGGCAGTGTGGGACATTAAGGTCCCAAACCTCAGGTTCCCCATCCCGGGAGTGAGGATTCTTCCCCTCATAGTGTCCTTGTCAGGATTTATTGAAATCACAAGACAGTGAAGGTCACAAAAGTGCCTTAGTCTCAGCCAGGCCTGAAATCTGAGGCTCGGTTTCCTTATCAGTAAAGAATGAGTCACAATATGGAGTTTGTAGTCATGTCAAAAGGATTAAGTGTTATGTGTAGATTAAAAGATAAGCCAGTGTCCTATTATGCACATAATGAATGAGAATATAAAAATGATGATAACTCATCCTGGGTTAATGGAACGTTTTGCTTCCTTCCTTAATTTTTCTTTTACTATTTTCCAAATTCATTTAAATGTTTTGAAATATATTTAAGAGTATTCCATGCAGCAAATTATTCAAAAACTTTCAAACCTGGAATTTTACCTCTGGAAGGTTCATTTGGTCTTTGCCATGCAAAAGTATGCCTGCTAAAAATCACAGCCTCTCGTTGTAGTACTCTCATGGGCTCTTGTAGAGGAAGGAGCATCAATCCACAGCCTCCTCAGCTTCTCTGAACTGCACGTTCCAATTGCTGTCTGTGGAAGAACTCTGCATTTCCGTTGCTGAACTGACCTGTGTCCCCAGCATCCCTCTCAAAAGTGGCAGAGAGAATCTGAGGCAACTCTTCAGACAAGATATTTGAAAATTTCAGCATCTTAAGTCCACTGTGTGATGCTACAGCCTATGAAACATTGTGAGCTCACAGTCTTTGGTCCCCTTTCACATGAAACATGTGTCTGGAGATGGTAAAGGTGGTGGAGTTACTAGATGCCTCGTGGTAATCACACCAGTAGGGTATGTCTGAGACTTCTCACGTGAAGTGAAGTTTAAGCTGAGATCTGAGCCTAAGGAGGCTTTAGCCAGCAGAAGAGGAGAGGGTGGAGACTAGCCAGATAAAACAGGAAGGAAATACCCTGTAACCTGGTTCATCCATTTGGAAAATCCAGAGTGGCAATCCCTTACCCAGAAGTTTGTCACGCTGGGAAAAACTTTGTGAAACTTAACAGGACAGTTGTAGAAAGTACCTGAACCCCTTCTGCCCTCCTTGCTCCCACCTCAGGCCTTTACTGACCACCAGCCCTCTAAGAGGAGTCCTATATTATTACTATGATTTCTATCTGTGAAACCATAGAGAAGAAGAAAGTCGTTAGGTAAAACAATTTGAGTATGATTTTATTTTACGTGTTCTTCCACCACTCACTATGCAAGCAACTTTTAATAAATTTTTCTTTCCTCTTCCCAAATTTTCCACTGGAGGAAATTCAGAAATTGGCGGTCCATGATAACTGGTGAACATATTGTCAACCAAGAAATGCAGAAGGCTGCAGATAAGAAAAATAGCTTTTACTTAGGGTCTTATGAATTATAATTTGTGAGGCACTGATTTGAGTAGCAACTCAAATGTGCTCATAGGGAAACAAAAATGGCAAGAGTTTATAAAGGTGACATATAAAGACATTCCAGAGAAGTTATATAGGTTATCTTTACAGAACTATGATTGGTGCTGGCAGGCATTCAGTCACTTGAGGCACCAGATTGGTCGCCATGCTCTGGTCTCCAGGGAATAACGAAAACAAGTTCCAGTCGGTCTCAGGTTGGCCAGGTCAAAGGTTTATGTTGCATTTGGGGGTAGAAATATGTAAGTCCTACTTCCTTACTAGCCTCCTGGCTCCATTTTCAATCCCTTGGACTTAAGTAACCACATTTTGTTGTCCATGGTCCACGTGTCTAGAATTGCAGCTTAGACATCACTCAGCAGGAATCTTTGGAAGGATGGAGGGAGCCAGTTCTCATTCAGAGTGACATTTCTGGAAGATTTTGTGGCAAATGAAGCATTAAGGGTAGCCCACGTACATTAAAACTAGTGGCAAAAACATTTCTTCTGCCTCTCCCTCCCAACTATGATGGGCAACCTATATGTGTGTAATTGAGAGACAAAAGTAATGTGAAAAAGCATATAGATGTAGAAATATACCGTTAATCCACACACCTATTATTTTTGTAGTGAAATTCCCAACCAGGTATGTACTACTATGCTATAAAATTTTACATCAGTTGTTTTTCTGATTTCAAACTGCTATCTTTATAAACTAATGAAGTGCAAGAATGTGTATTAGAGAAAATATTTTTCTATATTATTTTCATCTTGTTACAGAGCAAGATGTACATCCTTGATAGTTTAGTTTATATTCCCCAGATATATTTCTGTGTACAGTACTATATAAACAGGTTTACATGATATATATATTCTTCCAAATTTTTCTCACAGTATGTATACACTTTTCCTCATGTTATGTATGTTTATGTGCATATGTAAATATATGTACACACTTACATATTTTTGTAATTGTTTTTTTACTTGTTTAATCTTTATATGTTTGTGATGTATAGATCTTACTTAATTTTTTTCGATAGACTTTGAAAGACACTCTTACTACTAATCAGATTTATTTATGTACGAGAATATTAAACATTTGCCTATAAAATATTTTTCCTATAATTTGCATTCCTTTCTATGTGCCATTTTTGTTTGGGATTGACAAGGTTTTCTTTTTCTAACTTCCCTTCAATTTCTCAAATAAATTTGTAACAGATAAAAGGTTTTTTGGGTCACATATGCAGTTTTGAATTCCCCTGGTGTCAATGCCACGCAGATAGGGTACTCAAACAACCCTCTCGCCCATGTCTTGGTCTTGGAAGTTCATGATGGAGATAAAATACCCTCCCTTAAGCCTGGAGTGCCACAGGGATTGAACTGTCTGGGGGCGGGTGTGCTGGGCATGTGGGGCCCAGGTAGAAGCAGAGGAAAGTTAACCTCCATGGAGGGGAGAAAATGATCCCCTCCATGGGATCCCCTCCATGGGAGGGAGAGGCAGAAGAAATGTTTTTGCCACTAGTTTTAATGTACGTGGGCTGCCCTTAATGCTTCATTTGCCACAAAATCTTCATTTGCCACAAAATGATGACTTACAGAATTATTTTAGGCCAGAAGCACTTTACATGGTATCTCCTATAAGCAAACATATGTTCAAATATTTTGGTCTAAAGCCCTTTTCCATTGTGCCCTGAAACTCTCAAGGATTTTTTTTTTTTTTCGGTACGCAGGCCTCTCACTGTTGTGGCCTCTCCCGTTGCGGAGCACAGGCTCCAGACACGCAGGCTCAGCGGCCATGGCTCACGGGCCCAGCCGCTCCGCGGCATGTGGGATCTTCCCGGACCGGGGCACGAACCCATGTCCCCTGCATCAGCAGGCGGACTCTCAACCACTGCACCACCAGGGAAGCCTTGTTTGTAGATTTTTTGATGATGGCCATTCTGACTGGTGTGAGGTGATACTGTCATTTGCTCTTTGCCATCTGTACGTCTTCTCTTTTTTTTTTTTTGCGGTACGCGGGCCTCTCACTGTTGTGGCCACTCCCGTTGGGGAGCACAGGCTCCGGACGCGCAGGCTCAGCGGCCATGGCTCACGGGCCCAGCCGCTCCACGGCATGTGGGATCTTCCTGGACCGGGGCACGAACCCGTGTCCCCTGCATCGGCAGGCGGACTCTCAACCACTGCGCCACCAGGGAAGCCCACCCTCAAGGCTTTGAATCTAGAATTCCCAGTGGACTAGAATTCCCAGTGGACTAGTATTTGATGCTACCCTATGTATTTCTCATTTTCTTTTCTGTCGTAGCTGCATTATTTTAAAGTAAAAAAATCCATGAAAATTAAAGCAATTTCTGTACTGTCAAAAGAAAAAAACTAAAAGCCTGGAAATTTGGGAGACAACATTTCAAACATTATTACAGATTTTGTACTCATGTGCAAGAACCAAAATGATTTCTGTTAATCAGTAGAGAAAGGGACAAAAAATTGCAAATAATTCGCCTAAGAAGCAAAATGCTTCTCCAATAACCTCTGGAAAGATGACAAACTATTAACTGAGGAAATGAAAATCTGAAGATGTCATAATAAGTGAAAAAATGAATTTGCATAAAATTACTTATGTAATTGCAAACTTTAAAAAGAATATGTATAGAACTACATAACTACACAAATGCTTTAAGTCAGGTATTCACATCACCTAAAGGGAAACACATCTGGAAAATGTGCACCAATCCTCTTACATTGGATATCTTGGGTATTTGTGAGTCAGGGCGAGGGGATCATGTAGATGGAAGGTGCAGAATGATTTTATTTTCTAAGTATACATTTTTAATGTTTAATATTTTGTGATTAGGCTAATTTGTTGAGAGGAACACTCGAAAATATCGAATAAGCAACTAACAAAAAAGTTCACATATATTTACCATGTTATCAAAGAGTTCACATGACACTGTTTCATAAAAAATAAAAAATTTCAATTTTTTTTTTTTTTTGCAGTATGCGGGCCTCTCACTGGTGTGGCCTCTCCCGTTGCGGAGCACAGGCTCCGGACACGCAGGCTCAGCAGCCATGGCTCACGGGCCCAGCCGCTCCGCGGCATGTGGGATCTTCCCGGACCGGGGCACGAACCCGTGTCCCCTGCATCGGCAGGCGGACTCTCAACCACTGCGCCACCAGGGAAGCCCCAAAATTTCAATTTTTGACTTGACAGTTTATCTGTGTGGTATGTGCATTTCTGTCTTACACTTCTTTTACCCCCAAATGTTCACACACTTATGTGCAGATTTTTCTTCACCTCTCTCAGTGGCTGGACTTTTCTCAGGGCATAGAGATCCAGGAAGGGATTGTGGACATGGTGTGGAAAATTCCAGAAAGTAGTGGAAAATTCCAGAAATGTCTAACTGATGCACTGGAGCCCAATCTCCTCTCTCCTTCCCTCTGCCTTGAAACCTCTCTGGTCTGGAACTTTCAGAGCTACAATTCCGGCTCTGACCACTAGGAGTATCTATCTACATTGAGGACATTTTTTTTTTTTAAAGGAAAATACATGATTTGTTTTCTTTTACTGTCATTACAGTGACCCACAAAACTCTGCTTGCTATTTCGATTATAGTTTTCAGGTCTGTTCTTTGTTGTTTGGTTCTTGTATTTTTTTTTGTTTTTTGGTATTATCTCTCTGAGGTGGGCTGAGGTTAATTCCAGCCATTTGACTATTTTCAGAAAATTCTGTTACTTTGTACTAACTTAAGACAATCTCCCACACTACAGCAATAACTTAGTAAATCTGTGCTTGGAGAAGTCATCTTCCATTCCGTGGAGCTCAATTTCAGTCTCTGTTTCCCCAGGTAGCATCTGAATGACCCTAGACAAGCTCCAGCACCTCAGTAAGCCTCAGCAACCTTGGAAAGTTGGTGATTCTGATATCAGAGTCCCCTTGTGAGGAATTCATGAAAGAACAGAGGCAATGTAGCAAGTACAGAGTCTGGCCTACAGCTGGCACACAGAGTTATCTGGGTTTGCAGAATGAAGGAACACAATGTAGTGTAGCTGATCCAGAGTCTGGCATACAGAGCTCCCTGTGTTTGTAACCAGAAGTATCAAGGTCCCCTAAGCCTCCTGATTCCAGATGGTCTCCTCTGCAAGGGTGGTACAGTTGGAGAGAGTGCCCTGGGTGTTAGGCTGGTAGCAAACTCAGGGGGCAGTAATTACAGGAAGTTAAGTCTCCTCTGGCCCCCAGGGCTCTCCTCCTCTGTGCCCTTGGGGAAGGGACTTCCTGTTAGGACTCCATCTTGTTTGTGTGGCTCTGACAAAGTGGTTTGGGGCTTGCACTCTCCTTCTTCAGAAGCCCTTCCTGATATTCTCCAAACCTCCAGCTCCAGACCCACAGATTCTCTTCACGAGCAGCCTGTGAGGAGGGTGGTGACAGATCACTGCCTTCAGGCCACCCCATGGGTGAGTTGGTCAGCATGAGACCTTGTCCTCAGATCCCCACAGGGCAGGAGGGGTTCTGGGTTCCCTCCCTAACCCCAACCCACAGGACCCCCAACAAGCTGACCCCCCCTTTAGAGAAGGCATGCAGAGGGCTCAGGCTCACTATTTCCCACTCTCTTGAGGAAATGGGCCAGGTGGGCTCTGACACACCCGTCCTGATTCCATGTGGAAAACCTCCCCTCTTATGGAAATGGCCATGGCTGAGGTGAATTATTTCCCCTGGCTGAGAAAAAGGCACAAGTCATGTGATCTTCTCAGGTCTAGGATTTGGAGAGTAGGGAGGGTCACCTAGGTGGGCGTGGGATTGTGTAAACTAATATCCCTTGGATTTATACGAGGTGGGGGAGGGGCAGAAAACCCACCATTACCACTGACTATTACATTAACTAGTCAGGGTAAATTGTATTAGTCCATAGAAGCTTACTGAGGCTTGCTTTGTTGCCCAGCATGTGATCTATTCTGGAATGTTCGATGAGTAGTTGTTATGTGCATTGTTCTATGTCAATTAAATACATTTGTTAACTTAAGTAACATTTTGAAACCTTCTCCCTCTAGCTGAGTTTTTGTCTGCCATTTTGTGCATCACTCAGTGAGCTGTGTTAAAATTTCCCACTGTGACTGTGAATTTGACCATGCTCTATTTCTGTTAGATTTTGCTTTGCATATTTTGGCTCTATTTTAGGACATGCATACAAATTTAGAATTTTATATTAATATCTCCTTATTGCATTGAACCTGTTATCACAAAGAAATCTCCTTCTTTCTCTAGTGATGCTTTTTTCTTTAAAGTGTACCTTTTCTTTTACTAATAGGGTTATACAAGCTTTCTGTAGGTTACTGTGGAAAAGGTATACATTTTGCCATTTTTTTTATTTTCAACTTTTCTAGATGATTAAAATTTGCATGTGTCTCTTTTCAGGAGCATTTGATGGAAGGTTTCTTGTCCAGTCTGATAATAGCTGTCTTTCTGTTTGGAATACTAATCTGAAATTTTTAATGTAAAAGTAGATGTAATTTGGTTTATATATACTATCTTACTGTATGTTTATTTTTGCCCCTTCTCAGTTCTTTTGCCTTTCCTCTCCTTTGAAATGATTAACATTTTATAACTATTAAATTGTTACCTCATGTGGCTAGGTAAACATTCTTTTGCCATTCTTGTAGTGTTTACCCTTCAGATTACAATGTACATTTTTGCCGTTTCAGTCTAATGTTAGTTAATTAGTTCTTTAAAACTCCTCAGACAATTAGGGGACCTTGAGACACTTTGATTCCATATACCCTCCAAATTTATTGTCATGCATTTTCCTTCTCTCTGTATTTAAATCCCCAGAAGAAATGACTATCATTGTGTTATATAGTCAACACTCATTTAAATTTGCCTACGTATTCACAAATGTCATTAGTCTTTCTTTCCTGT